CCAAGGCTGCTCCAGAATCTTCACCTTCAGATTCAGACACTGCCTTGGCCTTCAGAGCTCTTGATCTGCCATAGCTTGGTCCATAGAGATCTCTCTTCTCAGCAAGCTGGAACTCATGAGTGTTTAGCCTTTAGAGGATATCAGCGGGATCAAGTGACTTGTAGTCTCCTCGTTCTTGTATCATCAGTGCAAGGGTGTCAAATGAGGAATCAAGCGATCGAAGCAATTTCTTCACCACCTCGTGGTCGGTGATGTCAGAGTCACCAAGTGCTTGAAGCTCATTTGAAATGTCAATGAGGCGATTGAAGGTTTGCTGAACATTTTCATTGTCAAGTCTTTTGAAGCGGTTGAAGAGATTGCGAAGAATGTCAACTCGAGAGTCGCGCTGTGTTGAGACTCCTTCATTGACCTTGGACAGCATGTCCCAGATAAGCTTTACTGTCTCCAAAGCACTCACTCTGCCATACTGCCCTTTGCTCAGATGGCCATGTATGATGTTCTTCGGTTGAGAGTCGAGTTGCTTGAATCTCTTCACATCAACAGTGTTGATGGTAGGAGTAACAGAGGGAACGCCATTTTACACAACGTATCAGAGATCGTTGTCAATTGCCTCAAGATGCATGCGCATCTTATTCTTCCAGTAGGGGTAGTCCCTCCCATCGAAGGTAGGACACCCAGCAGAAACCTTGATCATACGTGCGGGCGACATAACTAAAACTCTAGGCGGTTAAACCAAAATCACACAGAACAAGGGAGTACCTTGCTCTGATACCAATTGAAAGTGCGTTAAGTCGACTAGAGGGGAGGGGGTGAATAGGCGATTTTTATAAATTCTTCACTGAGGAATTTCAGGGTGAGGAAATTCCTGAGCGAAGAACTACTTGTAGCGGAATAAGTACTCAGATGCATACATGGCATAACATAAGCATGGACATCATGATGAATTGAAAACAAGACACGGAGTACAGAAAGCGTAAGCACATGATAAAACAGGATGAAGACAAACAGATTGAAGAAATTGAGAAAGTCTTCAGTCAAAGCCTTCAAACAGATATGAACAAGCACACAACACAGTAATGAGGAAATGAAGGGGTTGAGGAAATAGAACCAGTAAGCTTGGTGAAGACAATGATTTGGTAGACCAGTTCCAACTGTTGTGACAATTGTACGTCTGGTTAGGGCGGCTAGGTATTCAAACCTGAGGACACACAGTCTCGGACACCCATTCCTGAACACCCAGTTCAGGCACTTAGTCCTCACCGTATTCCCCTTGAGCTAAGGTCACACACACCTCGCCCAATCACTCGTGGTAAGTCTTCAGGTGACTTCCAAACCTTCACAAACTTGGTCACCCGATGATCCACAATTTCCTCTTGGATGCTCTAGACCATGATGCCTAACCGTCTGGAGGATGCATAGTCCTCAAAGGTAACAAGCGTTGGTTCCGCGCAGGAACAATCTCTTCAGTGATGCTCAATCACTTTGGTTTGTAGGTGTTTGGTTTGGGGTTTGGGGTTTTTCCTCACTTGATGATTTCCGCTCAAAGTCCTCGGAGGATGGGATGCTCTCAATGACAAGTGTCAGTTTCTCGCGGAGCAGCCAACCAGCTAGTGGCTGTAGGGGGCGGCTATTTATAGCCTAGGGAGCAGCCCGACATGATAAGACATAAATGCCCTTCAATGATATGACCGTTAGGTGGGTAGATATTTTGGGACAGCTGGCGCGTAGCACAACAACGGTCAAAAATTTGACTATCAAATTCCTCAGGGCTATCATGTTCCTCACCTGTAGGTAATCCGCACTGGCAAATTCCTAACTCCTCAGTCAGAACAAATTCCTCAGAGACCAGAAGAACTTCGTCTTTGTCACTGAAGAAATTGACTGAGCTGTATGAGATTTTCAATGGCTTCACTCAAAGGGATTGGTAGGTGTAGGATTTTGAGATGAGCATCACTTGGAAACTTTTCCTTAGTTTTACCTCGACCCCCTTTAACAGTACAGTGTTTCCTATGACTCAAGGAAGAGAAAATGAAACTACGAAAACAAAAGTCTTCACGCTTCATGTTCCTTATATGAATAACAAGTCTTCACGGTCACATCAATTTCTTCACTTTCAAAGTCTTCAGAAAGTCTTCAGAAATCCAAAGTCTTCAGTCGAAGACATTCATTTTTTAAGGGTCGACTTTCTCTGTAAATATCAAACTCCTCATAGACTTATAGACCGGTGTACACTCACAAACGCATTAGTCCCTTAACTATAAGTCTTCAATACACCAAAATCACAAAGGGGCACTAGATGCACTTACAGCCTTGAACTTCTCCTCCCCGTTGATGACCCTCCAACAATGGGATAGGTTAAAGGACTTGCCATCATGTTTGACCTTGAAAGCCTCCAAAGCTTGGGATGCCTACAAATGGATAGCATGCAAGCATATGGGCAAATGGGTCAGTATGCAAATGGACATGCAAAACGAAATGAAGAAGAGGGCCGCATGCATACCATGTCTTGTATGCCGATGTCGCTCACGAAGCGTGCCTTGATGCTCTCAAGAGTGGCACAAAACTTGTTGCACTCTTATTGGATCACCCTCCACCGCTTTGAAATGGACATCCACCCACGCGTGCTTTGCATTTGGTACGACGCAAACTTCTTGCGCTCATGGTACTCACAGTGGACACAAATCCAAAAGGTTGATGCCTTTTGTTCGGCGCTGACCTTGGGGTATTGCCCAATGTCCCTCCAACACTCACAAAGGAGCTTGTCCTCGGCCGCCATGTATGCCATTGTCCGCTTGCTCTGGCGCTTCGGCTTCACCCCAACGGCTTCATTGGCGAGCTTGTCCTTGAACAAAGGCTCCTTGTTGATGTCCAACTCATCCTCTTCCTTGGGCCTGTAGTCCTCCGGAAACTCATGGTCCAGCGGGAAGCCGTCCAGGTCCAGGCCGACCTGATCTTGCATGAAGGCGTCGTGCATGCCAGCTTGATCAAAGCCAGGACGGCCAAGGGCCATTCACGCCGGCTGCCTCTGCACATCGCCTTCATGCCTCTTATAAAAAACGACACCATGGTGCCCCTACACATCTAGCAATTTCCTGTCTTTCATGCCTCTTATAAAAAAAAGGAAAATGAGACACAACGATATTTGTTTTTTTTGAAACTATGATGATTTTTATAGCAAATTCAGAAACTATACACCCTAATGGAGAAAAATCAAAGGTATCACCCCGTCGGCCTCCTGTTGGCCGAAAAGGGACATTTCGGCCTCCTGTTGGCCGAAGAGGGACTTTTCGGCCAACCGTTGGCCAAAAAGGACTTTTCGGCCAACCCTTGGCCAAAAAGCACTTTTCGGCCAACAGTTGGCCAAAGAGTCCCTCTTCGGCCAACACCTGCTCTACTGTTTAAAAAAATTCATATCAAATAGGATTTTTAGTATTATAATTTGATTCTTTTTGCATTAGATTAGAAATTTTATGAAGTTTCTGTAGATATCAAGTTTGACTAGATTTGAAAGTTTGAATTTAATTTTTTCATGAATTTGCTCAAATAACTAGATTGCCTATAATTTGAGTTAGGAGTATTTTTTAAGATGATTCTTTTTGCTACTGGTTCTTTGTGAATTTGTTTATCAGTAGTAATTAATTGGCGAATTTTATAATTATTTAAAATTAGGTTTTTATGAAAACAGTTCTGTTTTACTGTTTGTTAGGTTTTATGCTATTTCTTTTAATTTTAATTGCTTTAAATTTTTTTCTTTAGTTTTTTGACATATTTTTTTGTTTCGTTTTAGTTATCAGTAGCTATTTTATTTTTAGTATTTTTTAGTATTTTATTTCTTTTATCCTACTAGAAAACTTGTTTTGAGCTTCATAGGAGTTTATATTTAAATGTGCCTTGTAAATCCTATACAACCATTGCCGTTTTATACATGAAAAAAATACTTTCCCGCAATCTTTTTCCCTTCATTTTCTTTGCCGCCATTTTATTTCCCGCCATTCTCTCCCGCCACACTAAGGAGTGCTGCATCGACGGAGGATGACGATGATGCCTTCATGTGGAGTGTGAAACACTGTGTGAGAGAAGTCATAAGTGTGAAACACTCTCCGATGATGACGAAGCTGCAAACACTTATGACTTCTCTCAGACAGTGTTTCACACTCCACCAGCAGCACCGACGCAGGAGACACAGACCGTGTCAAACGATGTTATCTACGATCGTGGACACAATGAGGCTCGTTTTATAAGTTGAGAAGTGAAGATGGCGAGAAAGAAGATGGCGGGAAAGAAGATGGCGGGAGAGAATGGCGGGAAAGAAAATGGAGGGAGAGAATGACGTAAAAGCCTAATTTTAAATAATCCTAAAATTCACCAATTAATTACTACTGATAAACAAAGTCACAAAGAACCAGTAGCAAAAAGAATAATCTAAAACGAATACTCCTAGCTCAAATTATAGGCAATCTAGTGATTTGAGAAAATTCATGAAAATTCAACTTCAAACTTCCAAATCTAGTCAAACTTGATATCTACAGAAACTTCATAAAATTTCTAATCTAATGCAAAAAGAATCAAATTAAAATACTAAAAATCCTATTTGATATGAATTTTTTAAAAAGTAGAGCAGGTGTTGGCTGAAGAGGGACTCTTTGGCCAACTGTTGGCCGAAAAGTACTTTCCTTTTTGGCCAACTGTTGGGAGGCCGAAAAGTCCCCTTTCGGCCAACAAGAGGCCAACGGGGTGATACTTTTGATTTTTCTCCATTAGGATGTATAGTTTCCGAATTTGCTATAAAAATCACCATAGTTTTAAAAAAAATCACGATATTCGAGGTTAGATTATTTGCCTCGTGGGCCCGACAAGCCAGCGACCACGGTTTACCACGGCGCGACGCAAGGAGCCGAGCGGGCCCACGTTGCAGCCAAGACGGGGGCGATCGGTCGGTCCCCCCTTTGACAAGGAAATTTCTCCGTCGGAGAGGGAGCACGGGGAAGAGACGGATAGAGATGGGAGAGGCATCGCCGGAGTCCAGCGGCGCGGCGGCCGGAGGGCCGTCTATGCCGGGGCCGCCGAGGAAGGGGAAGTCGTGCAAGGGCTGCCTCTACTACTCGTCGGTGCTCAAATCCCGGGGATACAACCCCATCTGCGTGGGGATCCCTCGCTCCATCCCCCAAGGTCCGGAACCCTAATCCCTCATAGCACCCCGCGAATTCATCATGTGTTCGTGCGATATGCGTTTTTAGTCGGGAGCAAATTATCGCAGTCAAATTTGTTTGCTTTTTTTCTGGGTGGCGTAGTACGCTGGATCGGAAGATCTCACGGAACCGTTGATTGATTGTTTGTTTGATGTGGCAGTCCCGGGCTTCGTGGTGGAAGAGCCTAGGGAGGAGGCCGCGGCGCAGGGCCATGATCTGAGACAGTTCAAATACGCCTGCGCCGGTTACTCCATGTTCGTCGACGACAGAGACGCCAAAAGCGGCGAGAATGACGCCAAGGCGCTGTTGCCGTATTGCCAGGGCCTCGAGGTTGGTTCTCATCTCATCGTTGCTGTTGCAGACTATGAAATTTTCAGTTGATGTTATTTGGCACCGTGGCTGGCCGCTTGCTTATGGATTATATATGTTTCTGTTATTGCTCATAACCTCATATGTAGGCAATGAATGTGAATCGCAACACATGGTCACAGAAATTTCCAAAATTGTCAATTTAGCAGATGCTGGTCATATTGTCCTGCAATTCTAGTCAATTATATGATCTTTGTATTTTGCGCTCATACAATTCTCAATAGAGTTTTGACCTTACCTAAAAAAAAGATTAGTTTTTTTAAAGGAAAATCTCAGATTACCGGAAAAAGAAGACATATGATTGCAGTAATGGCCTGCAGTCGCAAGCAAGCTATGCTTGCCATTTTTCACGATTGTAAATTTTGGCAAGTATCCAAATCCTTGAGTCTGATAGGTAACCGAACACTTATACGATCTGCTGGAGCCAAAGGAATAATAAAGGAGAAAATAAAACCTAGATAACTCGATATGAAAATCGAGCAGGGGGTGTAGTAGTGATGAGAACTGACCAGAGTATAGCAATATTCGTGTTAGATTGTGAGCACTTTGGTTGGCATAAAAGATTGGGTCTGAAATCTGACTGGCGCTTCAGTGTGTTGGTATCGTCTTCTCAGCACCTAGAATCCTACTTGGATGCAAACACAACCAAAATGAATTGTAAGCTTGCCAAATTTGGCAACTGGGTTGGCCTTGATCAGTTCGAGAGGAAGGCAGAATCAGTTATGGTTTTATATTAACGATGAGATTCTGAAAGACCAGAAAGACAAGTATATGAACTGGTTTTGTACCCACCTAGTTTTGCTGCTCTTTTTCTTTTGATTCTTTCTGTTTCTTTTTTACTTGAGCTAATTCTTTACTTGCTTTCGAGTTAACTTGGTGATTGTTAAACAAGAAGGAAAATGGAAAAGTAGAAGTATGACAGTATTTATTGTTTATAGGAGATAATAATATTTTGGCTGTTAATGATGTAGAAAAGGTATGCCTTTATTAATGCTTCTGTTGCTTGATGGACTTCCTATTAGTTAGATCAAAGTGAATGATGAAAATAAGTGACATCTTCATCAAATTGCGCATGCTCACATGTAGACCTTGTCTAGTTCCTTACAAATTAGTCATCCATACCTCCTTAAGGGAATGTGGTTTCTAGTTCTGAAAAGATTAGCAAGCACCAATTCACTCATTGCCTGCATGTATGTTGCATGCCCACAAGTGCTGAATTCATTGGACTGTTGCCATCTGTTATTTTTTGTGCATACGATTTGTTTTGATTTGAACACTCAAAGCATGCATGAGTTGAAAAAATAAATGAAAATCAGTTAACCTTGCTGCCTAGTTTCCCCCTTTACTCTCTGTTGCAGCTAGCCTTTTATCTGGCAATTATCCTCATTTTTAACATTGATTATTGTGGGCTAGTTTTCTCTGCCTCTCACCACTCACCTGTAACCATTGCCAGCCCACTAGCAGAAAGTCATCCCTGTACCGAAGCATTGAATCCTGATTGTGACTACCCAAGATCTGCTATTGTGGCCATGACCTCCTCCACCAACCCGTTTGGTTCATTTTGGGCTCTGAAACAAATGCTATACATGTCGGCTTCCATCAGAATAGCTCCACTGGACGACACGTCATTCTTGTTCTATAGGCCGGCAGTAGTTGTGATGGTTTCCCAGGATCCAATAAATCCACTTAGGTTTACGTTGGCGTGAT